ATATTGGAACCTGTAAAATAACAATATTTTGTAGTAAAAATTATAATAACTCACTTTTTTTTAAACAAAAAAATCTAACTTTTACTAAATCATAATTTAAGCATATTAAATAACCTACCTAACCAACCTACTTGGAAAATAATCTGGATATTCTCTTTGTTTATGTTTTTTTTTTTTTTTGAGAAAATCAACATCCTTATTTTTTCTTTTTTCCTCAGTTGTTGTGAATTTAAAATTTTCACATTATTATTTGTTTTCTATGGAAATTAAATAGTTATAAAAAAATCTTATTTTTAGCTTATTATTTAGATCAAAAAAATAATTAAGAAATAGATGTTATACCTGAAGTTTTATTAGCGGAAACTTCAGCCAATTTTTCCCAGGATTTTGATGACACTTCATTGCATTCAAAGGATTGGTACCCTGTGGCCAGTAAACAGTTTTACCATCTACCCAATTAAAAGGGATTACAACTTCCTCTTCTTGTAAATCTTTTTCCATACAGCTTTTTTCCACATATATAATTTTAGTAATATCTTATAATAATTTGAACAAATAATAAAATAAGGAAACCATAATATAAAAACTATTTGAAAACATTATATTATAGTACCTGGACTACTGTTAAAGGGAAAACTAGACTTTTTACAACTTTGACTCTTGTTAAATAATGATCTTAGGTGTTATTAGTGGTAATGAAATTCCATTTTTTATTATTAAATAGACTTATTTTTTTAATTATTATTCTGCAGAACTCTCTCTCTTTAAAATTTATAACTAAATAGCAAGAGTGCTTGTTTAGGTTTCAAAAAAATTAATACCAATCATATTGAAAACTGTTAAAGTAATTGTACTTATATTAGTTTCAGTATTAGACATTTAAGAACACAAGGGTTTAGAATAAAAGAGAAAACTCTGTATATTAAGAATAGGATTGCAATAATCCCATGTTGCTGAAACATATATATTAAAAATAAAGACAAAATACTTCAACATAAATAAATAATAATCATTAGAAATACAATAGCAAAGTATATTACAAGATATCACACAATCTGAATGTTTTCTGATTACAAAAGAATATTTGCTTAAAAAGAAACATTTACCCTTTTTTTATACTTAATGTCTAATAGTAATACTATTACTTTGGTTTTGAAACTAGTATACTAAAAGCTATTTCTGCATCAAACAAAGATTATTTAGTTTTTATAAATGAAACAATACTTATTGATGTAAATATCGATGGTTTACCTTAATTTAGGTCTAAATTAATACTAATACCTTAGTGGTCAACACTAATAGTATTGACCACCACACTTGCTTTTGACAGTAACTGATTTTGGAGTCTGAAGCAAAGCTCTTTTAAAAGAACTTTGCTTCAGGCTCCAAGCTAAAACTCTTTTACACAACCACGTGAACAGCAGTACTTTACTGCCCATTTCACCAGTGTATAATTAAGTAAAATATGGTTTCTGAGAAAAACACAGAGCCATCGTCATCACTTTGAGACAAATAATAACATTCTTAGATATTCTTCACTTTCATAATCGCTATCCAAATTTTTGTTTTCTTCTACTTGATTGATGTTTTTACAAAGCATTAATCAAGTAGAAGAAAACAAAAATTTATTTAAGAAACTGGCGAAAATGCCACTCTAATTCTTTTCTCAGTCTAATACTTTTAAAACATATTTTGATAAATTACTCCTGCTTTTTTTAACTGCACTTTTATAGGCAACCAAGTTGCTTGAATAGAAACGAAAAAATATATTTCAAGTTCATGAAGAAAATTCAACGGTTCCGAAATTCACTAGTAAAGATAATGTTTTTACGAGAATTATTTCGATTAAAATTAATATTAATTTACATTTCTAGAATATTTATAGAATAACAATTCAATTAATTGAAGAAAAAAAAAGGATTATGTAATAAAATTATATAATCTTTAAAAATTTTCTGTTTTAATTGTTTTTAATATTTTATTTGCAACATACGATGATTAATAATGGAGGTATTATGAAAATTAAACCTAAAAATAAAGAATAAATAATGTGGAATATTTTTGTTTTATTTTTATCTGCGGTTTAAACTTTAACCGAAGAACGATATAATACCGTTTACTAAGCGATATTGTTCATTTTAACCGGATCTAAAACATCATTGTTCATTTTAACCATTATCTAAAACAAACGGTTTGTTTTTGTTTTTACAACGATGATATTTGCTTTGTGATTATATCGTATGATTGTTATGGATACTGAAACTTTAAAAAACTTAATTTTCTATCTAAGATTTCAGGTACGATAATAAAATTATAAAATTGTTGCTCTAAGCAGGTGATTTTTATTTTTAATATGCGAATGGAATTCAATCTATGGAAAAAAAAGAATATCGCCAGATGTGAGTTTTATGCCAGACGGCACTTTTTTTATTAGTACCATAAAAGTTTGGTACTAATAAAAATTAGTACCAAACCTTTTTAGTCTTTGAAATTCGTAAAAAATGTTAAAACCAAAATTCTCATTAATTATTAATTTAACTAATACAAAAATTCGCTTAAAAAAAACAAAACATCGAAACCAAAACTCGTAAACGGTCGAATGATGGCTTATTCATATGTTTGTATGTATTTTAAAAGTCTGTTGAAAAACAATATACAACGAAACTGTCAATAATATCAAATGAAAATTGTAAGCGTTTTTCCAAATGATTAGAACGAAGGTTTTATAAACAGCAACTCTAAAACAACCAACCTGTTTTCCATCGAAACTACTAGTTTGGGAATGTTTCGCCTACTGGCTGTTCTTCTCTCTATGAATAATAGTATAACTTTCATAATCCTGTTGAACTTCACTCACCAGTGAATATCTTTAAAGTTTCTGTTTATATATATATATTTTTTTGGTTTTTGTTTTTTTTATGCATAATTTAAGTATGTTAATTTAAAATAAAATAAAACGTTAAAATTAATTTTTCATTCCGTGACCTAAACTAAAGTTGTTTCGTTTTAATTAAAAAACGTTTCGTAAATGACTTTCAGGAAGTGTTCTTTCGTTTTGAATTAAGTTTCTTGTAGTTGTTTAAAAGCGCATTTCAAGTTTTGTTCTACTAATATTAGAAGAATTAATTCAAAAGTTATTAAAGATATTGGAGTTAAAATTTTATTTGTAAATTTAAACTTCTGAAAGAAATCGAAATCGAAACTGTATTTGATGTTTTTGTAATAATAATATATATACATATTTTTTTTATCGACAAGTTTTTTTTTTTAAAAAAAGAATTCAAATTATGGCAAAGATGTCAGACGAAGAAGAAATATCTACTCCAAATTATTTAAAGGTAAAAGTTTGTTATACCATTACGTCAGTATGTATATATACACTTTGCTTTGTTTTTATTTAACGAAGTTTGCTTTGTTTTTGCATGGCGTTTATCGACGTAATAGAATATTTGTTATTAGTTGTTAGGACGTTCTTAGATACGTTGCGTAGAACTTTCTTTAAAATAAAAGCGTATTTAAACTTTATGTTTAAAAGATAACTGTCCGATAATTAAACCGCGTATGTACAATTTACGATCATAAATGTAACAGAAATTTTTTAGATAATGTATTACAGTTATTTAGTTGTTAATTATACAGCTACTAAATTTTTTTTTTTTTTTTTTACAATTAAAAACTTAATTTTGATTGTAGTTCACATTTAGCAAATCATTTAGTTTATGTATTTCCTTTATTTCTTTTTCGATTTTGCTGACAGCTGTGGTGAAAGCAAAACTTCACAGAACCGAAACTAGTAAGAAAATGCACACTAAACCGCATTCGCGTCTTGCCGTGCGGTTTCTGCATGAATTGTACTTAAATATTTATTTTTCCAAAAAATATAAATATCGACTCTGAATGCTTTTTTTTAACAAAAAAAAAAAAATTAATAAAACTTTACGAGTTAAGATTTACTAAAGCGAGCTGAAGGATTATATAAGGTAACTTTATAAAATATTTTTTACCTACTAACAAATCATTAATATAGATTACAAAATAAATAGATTGCATATAAATTGCAAAATATCATTTTTTTTTTTTTTTTTAAACCGTCATCAAACAATTCATTAGTCAGCAATCGTTTCTGTGACGTCAAGTCTCACTTTTTGCTATAATTTTGTTCCACGCAAAAAAAAAAATTCATTACCTGTACTCTGTTTTGTTTTAAATTGGTTCTAATACGTGAATTATTCATTTATAGAATTTTCCAATGGAGAAAGTTGCAATACCCTTTCACGAATCAATCTCACCTAGTTCGTCTTACAAAATGCGCGAAATCGACCGTCAATTAAAAAAGGTAAATTAAATTTTTATTTATTTTTTGTTTGTTTTTAATCTATAATTTTTTTGGCTTATTTTCATTTTCCGTTTTACTTATTGGTGCTTTAAAAATTTCACTCAATATATTCCCTAAACATTTCTAATAAAATTTTAAATTTCCATGTTTCAAGCAAAAGGGGACTTTAACCGCCTTTACAATACCTACATGCTGGGAGTTTGTCGTAAAAATTAAAACTGTAGAAATTATAAAGAGCACTAATACAGTCAAAAAAAAATCAATTTTGGCTAAAATTGATAAAAAAGATTTATATTTAAAAAAAAAGGTTATTATTGAGTAATACTTCATGTATTTCATAAAAAACTTGACAATTTTGCGTAAAAAGTAGTATAAAGTTTAGAAAAAAAAAACAGTTTTCTTTTTTTTTTCATTTCTGGCTTTGTTTCAAAAGTATATTTCAAGGCACTTAAAAAAGACATGTTAAGAGTAATACGTCATAAAAAGAGTCTACTTGATGTCACGTCAAAGCATGAACAGAAAATGTTACAATTTTGGGGAAATTTTTTGTAAAAATTAAACTTTTTTTATGCTTAACTATGCTTTTTGTAACGGCCACTCATTTTTTTAAACCCTCCATTCCGGTCTGGGTTTTTAAAAACAAAAATGATTTTATAATTACATTTAAGAATCCATAAATATAATAATACTCAGCAAAAACAGTTAACGTCATTATTTACTTTATAAAATTTTTCTTTTTAGTTTAAAAATGACGCAATTTTGTGTCAGGCGTTTACAGATAATGGCCTCGCGTGTACTTCGAACGGTGACGATTCATTTGAACGAGCATATAAAAATCCAATTATTGTTAACCGCAGTTCAGAAATTCAAGAATATAAAAAAAGAATTGAAGAACTTCATCGTATTAATAATAAATTAAACCTTGAGAATACCATTTGTAACGATCAATTAAAGCAGCAACAAGCAACTATAATAAGGTAACCCTAATAAGGTATTACAAGGCTTGAGAAAACATAAAAATCACAAAATATAAAAGTATTTGGAAAGAGTGTCGTTTTGTTTTTATTAGCGTTAAAAGTTCAAAATGAGGCCATTTTGGTAATTAACCCTTTTATTTATTTATTTCATTTTTAGTTTACAGTCGGAAATCGGAAGATTAACGGAAAATCGTCATAACAATTTGTCAACGGATATGCAAGTTCTAAAAGAGCAGGTAAAAGTGTTTTACGGGTTTTAAATTTTACGGTTTAAATTTTAATTTTACCAATTACGTTTTAATTTTACGAGATAAGTTAAAAATTTAATGGTTTAGTTAAAAATTTACGGGTAAAATTTTAAATTTACGGATTGAGTTTAAGTTTTATATGAATTTCTTAAATTTATTTATCGTTTGTTTGATATCTCATATATTGCCTGTCATTTAGCTCAATGTTTATCACGAAGACTTTAACGCTGAAAAAAGGGAAAGATTAAAACTAAAGGAGCGAAACATATTTTTACAGACCCAACTAGAAGAAGCTAAAAATATATTAGAGAGTCAGCATAAAAAGGTTTAAACATTTATGAATTTGTTTCTTCTTTTTTGTTGTTCATTTCATTCAGGGTCATTTTTTTGTAACCATAATATCTTCCATAATATAAGTCTTAGGGATCGTCCATAAAGTACGTACGCTCGTGGGGTTTGCAAATGGCGTTTTTGAGATAAGGGGGCAGTAGGTCAATTATAAAAGTATGGAAACACAAAATTAAAAAAATATCATAAAATATTGGGTTGGTAGGTTAAAAGTCTAAGTGCTTTTAGGGAAGGTAGAGGGTACTCAAAAAAGCGTATGGTAAAATGCGGGGTGGGGGGGTTGGTAAAAAAGCGTACGTACTTTATGGACAACCCCTTATTTTTTGATATATACCGGTTTTTACATCTATTTAAAACAATCATGGCAATCATTTAAAACAACCATGACATTCATTTAAAACTCCGTGACAATCAATTAAAACAATGTGTTTTTCAATTAAAACAATCGTGGTTTTCAATTAAAACATTTAACGCATGAGCAATCTTAACATTTTATATTATTAAAAAAAAGGTTTTATTTATATATTTATTTATTTAAATTTATTTTTTATTAATACTATATTAATTTGTTTTAATTTAATGGAATTTATTTTAATATTAAATGGATGCCATATTTGTTTTAAATGGATAAAAAACCCGTTAAGGCGTACACACATGTATACATATTTATTAAGCTTCAATATTCCATGCCGTTTAGGTACACATTTTTGATAAAACAACTATAATTTTCATTTAAAACATCCATGATAATCAATACATTTTTATTATATAATATTTATTTTGTCTGAGTCAGTAACTGTGCGTTTAGCTGCTTTGGATAAGACGATCTCTTTATACTCGAAAGGCCGTGGTTCTAATCTCCGTTTGGACAATTTCACTTCTTTTTCTTTAATATCTTTTTGCTCGTATAATTGCTATGACACCATTCCCCTATTCTTTCTTTTTATAGAATACATCATCTCAACATCAAACCTCTTAGTGTATTTTCTAAGTAAGGCGCACACGTATTCCGGATTTTGCATTCATTTAAATATGTCATCCGTTTAATATTAAAATAAATTCCATTAAATTAAAATAAATTAATATAATATTAATAAAAAATAAATTTAAATAAATAAATATATAAATAAAACCTTTTTTTTAATAATGTAGAATGTTGAGATTGCATGCGTTAAATGTTTTAATTAAAAATCACATTGTTTTAATTAATTGTCACAGTGTTTTAAATGACTGTCATGGTTGTTTTAAATGGTTGTCATGATTGTTTTAAATAGATGCAAAAACCGGTAACAGTACATACTTTAATTATTCTTATATATATTAATACAATACGATACTTGGTTTAGTATATAATAATACGGCACTGTACTTAGTTTAGTATACAATAATACTGTGCCAAACTCAGTTCAGTATATAATAAGTTTTTTTTTTTACTAATTTAGTTGCTGTTGTATTCGGAAATATTTCCCGATTCTGTTAACCAGAAAATTAATCCAACTGTCTCTACGGTACCAAAATACAAAGTTAAAAGCACGCCACCTTCACCAACTTTAAACGAATCAAGACATTTCACAACGAATGTAAATACCCAACTACAAGAAAACTTATCACTTTTGCATAAACCTATACCTTTAAAAACTCCTTTACGAAAATCTAATAGTAGCCATATTGAAACTTTCCGTTTTAACTCAGAAAATGAATTAAATTTTTCCTCTTATTTATGTAAATCTAAAGAAGAAAGAAATTTCTCATCAAATAAAAACCAAGACTTGTTGTCGCCATCGCATTCCTGTATTGCAAATTCTGATAAAACTACGACTTTATATAGCGATAGCGACCGGAGATTTAACGAACATTTTTTCGAATTCGATGAACATTCAAATAGATACAAAGACCTTGATTCTTTCTCTGATATTATATGTAAAAAGCATTAAATTTGTTTCATTTTAATTAACTTATAACGCGCAATAATAAAGTAATTTTGTATATTAAATTTTGTAAATACTACTATTTTATAACTCTGAAAAAAGAAAATAGAAAATAATAAATAAACTTTAATTTTTTTAATGTTTTTTTAATATAAACTATAATGTTTTTTTCTTCAATAGTTGGCGGATTCCCCTTAATAAATACTTAGCGGTAAAATAATATTTTATAAATAACCACTCTGATAAGATAGAATCGAAAAAAAGGTTAATGAATATATTAGTAGTTTCATATACAATATGAAAGTTAAAAATTGGCAATTTCATTTTCATGCCTTAAAACGAGTTTCTACTCATTCGTTTTTTTTTCGGGAACGGGATGAGGGAGTGAAAAATAATCACGTGAGCACGCCTAGTTTTCCTTCGAACAAATTAAAACTTATACTACGCATGTCCACGTGATTATTTTCCCTTCCCTTTCCCGTTCGTGTGAAAAAACGTATGAGTGGAAACTCACCTTTAGGCGAAAAAAATAGGTTTATAACAAATAGGGTAAGTTGGCGAATTTCGGGCAGTTTGCTGAACATTTGCCGTAAACGTTATAGAATATAACCAAACGGCGACCAAAAGTATAATGAGATCAATTTAGGCAGCCAACTGTTTTGTCTACAAAATAGTAATAATTTGGGCAATTATTAAATATCATTTATAAATACCATATCCTATTTTTGCTGCTTTAATCAAAAAGACTTTTTTTTTCTTTCTTCGTTCTTTTTTAAATCAGATTTGCAACCTTTAAGTAAAAAAAATAAAAAATATATATTATAAAAAAAATATATGTTAACTTCTGAAAAAATCTTATGCAATTTTATTGCTTATGGAGAATTAAATCTAGCATAGTAAGTAAATAAATATTTTAGGCAACACTAACCTATCTTTTGCTTGATGGCCCCGTACTTCCATTTATTCTATCACCAATTGTCTGAGAAGGTACATTATATTTTAAACTTACCTTTCTCCATGAAAAATGATTGTCTCGAACATCAGCAACAGCGGCCATAACAGCTTCCTTGTTATATTTTTGGTACTTCTGTCTTTTCTTAGAGTCCATCGTCACGATAACAAACTTGATTAAAAAATTGTAACTTGTATATTCCACTATAATGATACTATATTTTCAAATAGTTGAAATTTGAATTCAAATATTGCTTAGTTAAAAGAAATCCAGCCATGCAGATAATTTCGCAGCTGTTGCTTTAATTTTTTTTGTTTTGTCTTAAAAACGTCACTAGCAACCTTAAGCATTCAAAATCATTTTTAGGTAAAAATAAAATAATGCACAAAATTTAATACTGTGTTAATTAAATTTCGGGCATAATGCACGAAATATGATGCTTTGGATAGTTCGTGAAGAAATTTTTTACATCAAAAAAGTATTTGTTTATTATTATTATTAGTTTTTACCCTTCCAAACATATTCGTTAAATTAGGTGATACTTCTTTCAAAGAAATGTCGTACTTCATTTTTGTACAGTTAAGTGTAAAAATTAAGTGTAAAAAGATTTACGCTTTTTCACTTTACGTGAAAAACCGATGTATCGTAACTTATAATAGCTTTTAAATATAAATATTTGGACTATCGATATGGGGTTAGCAGTAACTTGATGCGTTAAGGTTGTACTAACTGAAACGTGAAACAACACTTTGATTAAATTAGCGTCAGTGTGATTTTTTTGATGCGAAAGGCTGTTTGCACAAAATTCGATGCCGCCCGAAATTCACCAACTTACCCTAATTAAATTGTAAGTTTTTGATTAAAATTTGATATATTATTTTCCGTCATACTAAAACTTTCATTTTACGACCATCAATTTACGACCATCAATTACAAACATCAAAATCTAAACTTTAATTATTAGACGTAAAAATAATTGAAAAACACAACTTTAATATTCATTTACAATTAACGAAAATAATTTAATTTAAACATATAGGAGACATATCACTTTTGGAAAAAGTTCAACACAGGATGACTAGATAAGTACCATCATTAAGGAAAATTAATTATGAAAAGAGATTGGATATATCTACATTAAAAACAAGGAGGGAACGTGGAGATTCAATACAAGTGTTTAAATTACTTAACAGATTTGAGAAAATTGATTTAATTAATGAACCGAAGCTTAAAATTGATTCAATTACTCGAGGTCACAATCTTAAATATGAAAGAGAAATTGTGAACTATTTACCTCGGCATCATTTTTTATTAAATCGTACGGCCAATTTATAGAACGCATTACTGGAAACTATTGTTACTTCAAAAACTGTCAATCAATTTAAGAATAGATTAGATGAGTATAACGCCAAATCAAAGAAGTTTTAACTAAACATTTTTAATATATATCTGGATTAATGTTGTCAAAGTGTGATAAACCACACTCGCTGGATTCGTCCAGATACAGTTCAACTACTAACTAACGAACATTAATATGTATATATCTGCTTAAGATTTAAATATGTTAGTTAAATTGCATGATAAATTGATAAAATCATATAATCTGTCTAAGTAATTTAATAATAGGTAAACCTTATTTTTATTCTTTTTAAAAAAAAATAAAATGAATCAAAAAGATCAGGTAATAAGTTATTTCTGTCTTAGTTTGTTAAACCGTCTTTTTTGTTGATAATGTATTAAATCATGGTGGAAATGGTCACCAAGTATTACTAATAGAATTAGCGATCTTGTTCTTTTAAGTTTAAAACTTTTCATTTTTTAACAATTTAAGTTTCATTACTTTTATTCAATTTAGTTTTTGATTGACTCAATTATTTAGTATTTGATTGACTCAATTATTTAGTTTTTGATTGACTCAATTATTTAGTTTTTAATTGACTCAATTATTTAGTTTTTGATTGACTCAATTATTTAGTTTTTATTGACTCAATTATTTAGTTTTTTATTGACTCAATTATTTAGTTTTTGATTGACTCAATTTTATAGCTTTTGATTGACTCGATTATTCATTTCAAAATTAATATTTAGGCAATAATAACAATAAAGGAACCAATGCAAAACTTTTAAAAGTTTATATTTTATATTGTTTCTTTATTTATTATTATTATAAACAAACAATCGTTAATTTAAATCTTCAAGGATTTAATAACAAAGTTTTAACTGTATTTGTTTATTTGTATTATAAAAACAATAGTAATCACAAAGGTAGCAATCATAAAGGTAGTAACAGATCAACAACAACAACAACAACAACAACAACAGGTTAAATAATTTAAAGTGTTTAAATATGAAGTCTTTTTTTTTTATTATCATATGCTTATTTAACATATTGCCGAACGAATAGAGGGGCACATATTGTTTAGATCCATTTTTTGGGCAAAGTCCCCTTCTTTTATTGGGAGAGAGGATGCTTTTCAAAACAAAATATTAGGGGAAAGAATATTGAGAAAAAACGTTTTTTAATCTACAAATTGTTAATGTAGTTAAATACATATTTTTCTTTTTTATATTTTATTTTCTTATTTTATATATATATAGTAATTGTAAATAATAAAAAAAAATTTTTCTTAAAATTTAAGTATAAAACATTGCTTAAATTAAATGTTTTATTTAAAAAATTTTTTTTTTTGTTCTTTTAATAAATAAGAATTTTTATTGTCTTGTTTTTTAAATAAAATTTGTTGAAGAGATGTATATAAATATATATTTTTTCTTAACAATTTAATCTTTTTTTAATTGTAAAAAACTTATATATTTTGTTCCTTTTTACAAATAACTGATATTTTACTAACTGTAAATAAGTATACAAACTAATATAAGTAAATATACACTTTTTTTTTGCATTTCATTATTTTGAAAAACCCTTGATAAACCTTAATTAAAATAACTTTTCTCACTTGTCGAATTAACGTATTGGAGGGGTTCCTAATGGGAGGTTTGTTTATTTTATACTTTATTATAACTATAATAACCAGAAGAAATGCAATTTTCATCCATGTTAGAGATGTTATTAACGTTTTTATGTAATCTTTCACATAATTTAATAGGTAAATTAAACATAGGTAAATCTGCACATCTAACTTTTTAAATTTTTTTTTTATTTTTATTTGAAGATTTTACATTCAATTTTTTTCTTTAAAAATAAATCAACGGAGTGAGGTTTCTATCAAACTCGAAGTACGCTGAAAAAAAAAAAAAAATCTTTTTCTTCTCCTCACGTTTGTAATAAAAAAGTTTTAAAGCGCAAGACTTTATTAGAAATTTTTTTAATTAAATCATTTTTTGTTCTAAAAAGCAATAATGTAAAGAGAACATTTATAAAATAAGTTTAGAAATGATCGGCGTTGAACAGACATGACCCGTATTTTACGGATCCGTACCGCTAGTTTATAATTAATACTATAATGACGATGTTACAGTTCAACATATTGCCGAACGAATAGAGGGGTACATATTGTTTAGATCCATTTGGTAAATTCCGTAAATATAAAGTTTAATTTAGAAATAAGCACTTCTGTTGACAATATAAAATAAACATTACATCCGTAAAATAAAAATTACATGCGTAAAATTGGTAAAGTAATAAATAAAACATCTATTAATAAAAAATAACAAGAAGCGCTCATTTTTATTTGAAATATAATAATTCGTCATTTATAAACATTTTATAACGTTCTTGTTTTACAATTTTCATCAATAAAATTTAAATAAAAAATAATAACGACAAATGAGATTGAGTAATCAGATATTATAAGAGTTGGCTTAGTTAAAATAAAATTATAGACATATATATAATTACTTGCTATGTGTTTTGTTTTATACATAATGCCTATAGTTTTAGAAATTTTGTTTTCAATTAGCGTATATGATTTTTTCAATTAAAATGTTCATCAAATATTATTCCTAAAATTTTAAGTGATGAAACTCTGTTTACTATATTGTTATTTATTATTAGCTGAGGAAGTTGCAGAGGCGAGTCATTAGATTTTTAGGAA